ACAGTCGTAATGCATGGGCCTCACCGCTCGGATAAAGCGCCGAAGCAAGCCTGTTGTCAGCCTCCTATGCACCTCATATCCGCGAACTTTACCAAATGGGTGCTAGACAGAGCCCATTGCAAATCAAACCAAACCCTGAACCCGCACTGCGTGTTGAATTTTCGGACATCTGATTTTGCAGAACCCTGAACGAACCCTTGTAATACCCAACGGAAGATAGCCTAGACCCCAAACCTTGAACAGATGAAACGTCCCTGAAAGGAACCTGCACCGTATGGGAATGTTCGACAAGAAGGGACCCAAGCGGACGGAACTACTTATCCGGAAAAGGCGGGTTCGGGTTCTGGGTTTAGTTGGGATCAGGGCTTGGTGTTTACATGATCCACACCCCCTGATGTAAGCATCCGCACCCGCAGACGCTGAGCCAACACAGTGCCGGGACTGCTCGCGGGCCTGACGGGCTGTGTGAAAGACTTGGTGGTAGATGAAAGTTGAAAGCAGATCCCTTGGCAACACTATGCCGCCCCAGAATCACAGATGAGACATTCCATGTAGCATTTCGGACATCTGCTGCATTTGCAACAATGTCAACTCACGGTTTCTTTTCGGTATGGTTTGTGGTGCTTTTGGAACAAGCTTATAATGCCGACCAGGCACGATTGAGTGGGCATGTCAGGAAGAGACTCCAGCTGCTCTTACAGAGTTCCCCTCATTTCTTATTCTTGTGCTGGATGGACCCGCTGGGTGGCAAGCTCCTTTTCTGCGTCCACGCCATCCTTCCTGCGCGGTTTCGAGTCGTGAGTTCGGAACTCCATAACATCTGCAAGCGCAACATTCGAAATGAAAATCCCCGGCAAAAGAGGAAGAACCGAATGTCGGAGCTGTCTCAGTAGCCCTCGCCGCATGATTCCTTGAATCCAGTGTTCAAGATCTTTAGGCTTCGTAGGTTTGAAACATTACACTTGAGAGAACCCCACATAGACGGGCAGCTGAACAAAGCTGATATGCTAGCAGCGATTTCTATCCCAACACTGGGCTGACGCGGCTAAGTGCTGCATGCACAGAGTAGGTTGGACATCCAGGTCTTGATCCTGTCTAGGCCTAGGCCTTGGGGTCTTTGGCGATGGTTTGCGAATCATCGCGCAAATTGTGTGCCAAGCCCTTTGACGGAGATCGCGGCCGATGTGAGAAGAAGCCCAATGGCCCCAAACCCACAACCTGACAGACACCGATCTTTTAACCCTGAACCCAACTGCTTACACAACTGTCACTACGACCGCCGCATCTAGTAGCCTTAGAACTCGAACTCAAATCCAAGACATAAGAGTCACCCGAACCTCTGGAAGAAGCGTGTAATCATAAAACCTTATGCCGTGAAAAGCCACTCGTACTAACCGAAACCCCGCTCTTGAAATCTCGACCTTGAGTTGCCCAGTGTAGATTTTGGGTTCTAGGCTGGCAGCTATAGGGGTTAAGGGTTTGGTCAAGGTATTTAAAGCTTAGGCTTTGCCCCTAGACCCTGAAGAGCCTGAAGAGCACAGACCTTAAGCCTCTTGACCCTTACCGCAAAGGGCATCAGCTTTAGGGCTTCGGGTTTAAGGTTTAGAATCCCATACAAGACACTGTCAGGAAGTCGTCTCCTGCCTCTTGCTGGTTTTATTTTCTCCCGATAACCCCCCCTCCCCCCCAAGTATACACTCACCTGAGGAGCCCTATGTACAGTCACCAAAAACCTGAAAATCTTGAAATACACCCTACTTCACATAGGACATTTATAAGACCCAAAAGTTCTAAAAAACAGAAGCCTTAAGCCTGAGACCCTCCTAGACACCCCACAAGTGCAAACCAACTAAACTCCACAACCGCAAACCCAAAAGGCACAAAACCCTAAGCCTAATACCGTGACTGACACCCTACACCGAAAAGCCCAGCAAGGCTTAACCCTGAGGGTGGAAGCTTCCTCTTCCACTGCGGATCTTTGCTCTTTGGCCTGTCTGGTTTCGAGTTGCAGTTTAAGGTTTAGGACTTCAATTAATTGTGCTTTAGGATTCGGGGGTGTATGTACGGGTGACGATTCACGGGTTTAGGGCTGTCATGTCAAAGCGTCGGGGCTACGCAAAGAGGTCCTGTGAACTTGGTATTTACTCTGTGTTTTCACGTTCATTTTAAACTAGATATCCTGTCAGAACCTGTCAGGATTGCTTGCGCCCACAGGGTTAAGGGGTGTAGGGCTTAGGGCTTATAGAGTTTAGGTTGATGGGACGGCAAGAACCTGTTCCCCGCAAAAGAATGAACAGAACACCGAACAAAACCGTGCACTCCGAAGCTGGCCCCCTGCACCCCGAAGCCCTGAGACTTTAAGGGTTCAGGGTTCAGAATTCAGAGTTTAGTGCTTTTGGTTAAGGTTTTATGGGGGCTAGGGCTTAGGGCCTAAATCCTATAACACCATAAAACCAAAATCCCAAATCAAGCACCAAAACTCCTGGACATTAAACCAACAACCACAAGCCCGAAACCGTAAACCCTAGACCTGAAACCCTAAACCCGAAGTCCTAAACCAAAACAGCAGAAATTAAAACGTACGGTACAGCTAAGGCCTAAAACCCTAAACGGTCAGCCCTAAACCAACAACCAGAAATCCGAAACCCTAAACCAGAATCGAAATCCTAAATCAAAAATCCTACAGCCCCCAAAACCCTAACCACGAGTTTTCCCGCCCTGGCTGCTTCGGCGGCATCTTCTCTTTGCTGCCGCGCGGATCCTTGGGCTTGGGGGGCTTCGCTTTCAGGGCTTAGAGGCTATATAAGAGTTTCAGAGGCTTGAAGGTTCGGGGCTTTGAGGGCTTTCTTCTAGCGGCTTAGACAGGGCTCAGGGTTTAGGGGGCTTGCTCTTCAGGGTTGATAGAGTTGCAGGTGCTTGGGGGATTTCGGGTTGAAAGGTTGACCCCCTTGGAGACTTGGCATTGATCGCCAGTGTTTTCAGCGATGGCGAGACCGACTGTCAACCTCAAACTCGCTCGCATCACCGCGCCCAAAGTCCTGAACCCTTGACTCCAAACTCTAAAAACCCCAACCCAAGAGCCTTTGTTTGTGCCATAGGGCTTCTACTCCAAAACACCTTAGCAGGATGCATTTTTTGTTGCGAAAGGGGAGTTGAATACTTGGGGGCTGTTCTTGATTCTGGTTGCAGCCCGTAACTCGAAAATCGCTTTGTGTTTCGCCATCGCGCGGTCTTGCACGCAGACGGTTTCAACACACCTTCCCACCTTGAAGCCTTGATAAACCTTGTTACACTACTTTATTGCCCTTGCACTCGCCCTTGCGCACGATTGCGCCGTGCGTTTTGGAGCAGGTCCTAAACTTGCATCAGGCGGGGATTTATAGCAGTTCAAATTTGGCATATTGAGTTCACGGTTCGAGGTATAGAATTTGGGGCCTGTGGATCTGGGATATGATCGAGGTATAGAATTTGAGGCGACTACAAGGCTGCTTAGACTGAGAGGCCTAGTAAGGTAAGGGCCTCAAAAACTTACACTGCATTCAAGTCTCTTTCCCCTTCACACTGTCGCCCTTTTGGTTGTTGCTCTTGCCCCTTCCCTTTCCTGATGGCGGACTCGGCGCTGAAATGCTCAGGTGCTTGTGACCGTGCGGTTCACAATAGGTTCAAGATACAATGCTGCGAGAATTGATTGTGTCGATTTTGTACGCCTGGCCTTAGCGAACAGGTAGGAAGCCGCTCGAAAGGAACTAGAGAATCAGACAAACAGGTAGCACGTCGCTCGAAAGGGACTTGAGAATCTGACTAACAAGTAGCAAACCGCTCGAAAAAGACTAGAGAATCTGACAAACAGGCGGCAAACTGACACCGTTCACTCCTCTTTTTTCCAGAATTTAGTGATCCACCGCTGCCGCCGCATGCGAGTGCTCTGCAGGTAGCAAAGACCGACGAAAGTGTGAAGAGCAAAGTACATGTACAGCGATTTTGATATCACCCCCTGCTTCTGGGTGGGGCGGGCCGGAAGCTTGAGCATCATTTGATGCGGCCCATCTACGAGTTAATCGCTTCAGTCAAACTCGTTCCAAAGACATCCATGACACCGCCCACTCCTCTTAGAATTTAGTGATCTGCTGCCGCCGCCGTATGCGAGTGCTCTGCAGGTAGCAAAAGCGGCGAAAGTGTGAAGAACAAAGTACATGTACAGCGATCCTGAAATCACCCAAACCAACATTGAAATACTTCCCATTACAACGTGCCCTCTGGCATCACATGCCGACCAAACTCTGAACCAAGGTGCTGGAGACAACCGTTGGAGGACATCGCGCCAATTTTTGACAGGGGGCAGAGGGTAAGGATCAGAAACCTTAGTGAGCCACTGACCCGAACAGTCAGTGACTGTTCTGTCTTGCCAGGGTATCCCAACCGGGAACTTGACACGAAATTTTAACAAAATTGGGGGTATCCCAAACCGGGATCTTGGCTACGAAGCCACAACACGTGAGGTATCCCAACCGGGATGCTCATTGCGAAGCCACCAAACTTGAGGCATCCCCACCGTGAGGTATCTCAACCGGGATCTTGACCACGAAACTTCAAAACTTGCGGTATCCCAACCGGCATCTTGACCACGAAGCCACAAAACTTGCGGCATCCCAACCGGGATCTTGGCCACGACACTTCAAAACTTGAGGTATCCGAACCGGGATCTTGACCACGGAGCCACAAAACTTGAGGTATCCCAACCGCCATCTTCATTGCAAAGCCCTAGTGCGCGTGCACCGGGTCGTAAGGGTGACACTTTGCGCTCGGCCGCGGCCGGTTTTGGTGGAGTGTAAGGCCACCACGAAAAGCCTGCGGGAAGGAAGGCCACAGCACTTGCCCTCAGGGAGTACATTTCGGCCGAGCGAAGAAAACAAAGAAAATGAATTACCAATGCAAGTGCAAAGGTCGGCTGACGGATCTGCAGCAAAACTTCGGTCATGGCTTTGACCACCTCCCGCACGCACCGGGGAGTGGACCCAGATCCAGTTGTTGTAGAATTGTTGTTCCGTGGCAGGAACCGCTTAGGAGCGGAAAGGGCGCACCTTGCCTGGCCCGGGGATTCACCTTCTTGGAAGAGGACATTGATAAATTCTGCCAAAACGGCATCAAGTGTTCTGCTCGACTCTGGCCACAGACTTTCCTGCCGGAGGTACTCAAAAAATTGTTCAGTGCTCTTAGGTAAGCCCACAAAGCTTGAGGTATCCCCACCAAACTGTTCAACACGAAGCCACAAAACTTGAGGCATCCCAGCCGGGATCTTGACCACGAGGCCACAAAACTTGCGGTATCCAGGCCCCGAAGTCACGAAACTTGAGGTATCCCAACCGGGATTTTCACCACGACATCAGAAAACTTGAGGTATCCCAACCGGGATCTTGACCACGAAACCACAAACTTGAGGTATCCTAACCGGGATCTTGACCACGAAGCCAAAACACTTGAGGTATCCCAACCGGCATCTTGGCCACGAAACGACAAAACCTGGAGTATCTCAACCGGGATCTTGACCACGAAGCAACAGCACTTGTGGTTTCCAGACCACGACGGCACAAAACTTGAGATACCCCAATTGAGATCTTGACTGCCAAACCTCAAAACTTGAGGTATCCCAACCGGGATGTTGACCACGAAACCTCAAACCTTGCGGTATCTAGGCCACAAAGCCACGCAATTTGAGGTATCTCAACCGGGATCTTGACCACAAAGCCACAAGAAAATGCGGCATCTGGACCACGAAGCCACAAACCTTGAGGTATTCCAACCGGGATCGTAACGACGAAGCCCCAAAACTTGCGGTATTTAGACCACGATGCCATGCCACTTGCGGTGTCCCAACCGGGATCTTCGCTACGAAACCCTAAAACTTGAGGTATCCCAACTGGGCTCTTGATCACGGAGCCAAAAAACTTGAGGTATCTTAACAGGCCTCTTGGCTACGAAGCCACAAAACTTGCAGTAGCCCAACCGGGGTCTTGACCACGAAGCGACAAAACTTGATGTATTCCAATCGGGTAGATGACGACAGGAAAAGAAGACAACAGGACGACTGCGTATGTTGCCACGAGAGTCGGTCTTGCGCCTAGCTTCAAGTGACTGACATGTAGACCACAAACATCCGTAAACCCTAAACTCCTCAGACTCTGCCTTGGACCGCAAAACCGACATCGCTGCCTTCCACTGGCATCGCGCCAGGGTAGTGGTTGATCCCACCTTGCCACTACTTACCGGCGTCTAGCTCCCTTTCCCCCACATGATTTCAGGGCTCTGGGCCGAAGTTCAAGTTTGCGACGAAACCACGAGCCCCAGACCGTGTGAGTCTGAAGCTTCGGTTTTATCCTGCGCTGGTTTGGAAATGAAGAATCCTTCACGGAGAAAAACTGGAGCCTACCTAGTCAAAGCCTTGCACCAGAGACGGACCCTGCAGCGCTTTAAATGATTCCTACCCATGTAGTTACAAACCCACAGAGACACCTGAACCCGAAGAAATTGAAAGCACCATGCACCAAACTAGCAATGTCGTCATGCAATCCCTAAACACCGAAGCTGTAAGCCCTAGTCCTGAACCCATCACCCACCGAACCCGCCTAAACCCATGCCTGGCTTGCCCATGCGCACGGGCAGCGGCGGCGGTGGGATGTCTTGTAGATCTGGCCGGCAATCTCAAACAAGGTTGCTCAAAATCAAGGGTATCTATGTCGGCTCCCCTGGAAGAGGGATCATATCATTTATCTGAAGGAGAACTGGAAGGATTATCGGAGCCCTAGGACAAGGGGTCCTTTCACTTATGCTCCGGATTCCAATCGTTCCACGTGGTCTAAAACCTCCCAGTTCCTCGACCTCCACAAAATCCCACAAAAACCAGATTCTCTGAATGCCGTCTTCAGCTACTGGCTACTGGAGCCTCAGAGATCTTGAACATTTTTCGGCCGAAAGTTCTTCCCTGAGCTCTAAACCTCCCTTTCAACTCGAAACACAGGGGTTTCGATGAGGGATCTATGCTGGACCGTCTCCCATTGCAGCGGCACCGGCTGGTGAGCTTAGACTTGATCTCTCGCTCGCTCTCTCTGTCTCTCTGTCTCTCTCTCTCTCTCTCTCTTTCTCTCTCTCCCTCTCTGCACATATACAAGCTGCATATTTCGTAAAGTCAAATGATCATATGTGTATGCACATGTTGTCTCATACATATATAGCATATATATATATATATATATTTATAGTTATATGTGTGTGTACATACACGCAGGCACCTCCTAAATCTGTTCATGTCTCTTTGCTTTCGCTTGGCATACTTGCTTGCTTCGGTGGTACAGTGGATACAGTGTCCACCTCTTGCCTCTGTTGCTATTGCAATGCTATGACTACAGCTGCTGTTCTCAGGTAGCAGTGTGACGAGTGTCCTTACATACGGTGTTACAAGTCTCCCTTCTTCCACACCCTAGACAAAAAAGGCGCTAAACCCGACAACCTAAAAAGCCTCAAACCCTAAACTTCGAACCCAGAAACCCCCCAGTCCAAGTCCCAGCCCCGTTCGAACGTCTACCGGAATCCTATCGAATCCTCCACCCCGAAGCCTGCACGATGCCGCCCAACAAACGACCTTCTGTGCAAACCTGACGGGTCCGTCTAAAGTTTGCAACACCCAGGACCACCTCCAGCGCAGCCTATAAACACCAGGTAGCCGGATGCAAACCGCGTATACAAGCCCCTCATATCAGAAGTGTTTTGGTGTAGAGCTTACGGGTTTTGGCATTCGGGGTTTGTGGTTTATGGTTTAGGGATGTTTAGGGCTATGGCTTGATTGTAGCTTCTGGGTTGTGGGTTTAGGTTCAGGGGTTTGCATGGTTTTGCAGTGTTGAACTCCTATCGGGAGACTGCCTGGATCACTGGGCGGTCTTCGGAGCCTTGGCATGGCCTCCTGCGGGTCATCACTGTTTTGGGGTTTAGGGGTTGAGGGTGAAGGGTTTAGGGCTTGGTGTTGAGGGTCTTATATGGTTGAAACTCATGTAGGGTCTTGACAGGATCTTATAAAGGTGGCACAAAGGCTTCGCGGCTTAGGGGCTCAGGGCTTGGTCACTTTAGTCTTTCGGGCCTTTGATGGTATTCTAGTGTTTTGGGTTTAAGGCTTTAGGGTGCAGGTATTTCGGTCTAACTAGGGCTTCGCTTTCAGGGTTCAGGGCTTAACATAGGAGCTTCAGCAGTTGATTGACCGGTTTAATTACTCATGCGAGAACCTTCACCAAGCGACCGGACGAGGTGCTTCCAACAGTGTACATAGCTATCAACATGACTATTATCATATTGTGCATCGGAAAAGCACTACACACTCCTGCTGGACAGACTTCCCACCAGCAGGCGTTTTCACCCGGCAGGCTTTTTCAATGGAGCGGCATGACATGCCGATGACACAGTGCTGCTACTCCGGCTTGTCGTGCTATAAACGAAACTTGATACTTGCAACGCTTATGCTGCTTATGCTATACTGCCACTTCTACTCCTGCTCCTGCTGCTGCTACCACCCACTACGACGACGCTGACGCTGACGACGACGACGACGACGACTACGACGACTACTACTACTACGACGACTACTACTACGACTACGACTACGACTACGACTACGACTACGACTACGACTACGACTACGACTACGACTACGACTACGACGACTACTACTACTACTACTACGACTACTACTACTACTACTAATACTACTAATACTACTACTACTACTACTACTACTACTACTACTACTACTACTACTACTACTACTACTACTACTACTACTACTACTACGAAAATGACTACGACGACTACGACTACGACTACGACTACGACGACGACTATGACTACGACTACGACTACGAGGACGACGACGACTACGACTACGACTACGACGACGACTGCTGCTACTGCTAGCGGTAGCAGTCGTTGTCGTGGTGGTGGTGGTGGTGGTGGTGGTGGTGGTAGCAGGAGGTGTGCACAGAAGAGTAGGAGTAGGAGTTGAATCTAAGGGTTGAAGCGGTGTTGGCAGTAGCGGCAGCAGTAGCAGGAGTAGTGGTAGTAGTGGTAGTAGTAGTAGCAGTAGTAGTAGCAGGAGTAGTAGAAGTAGTAGAAGGAGTAGAAGGAGTAGTGGTAGTAGTAGTAGTAGTAGTAGTAGTAGTAGTAGTAGTAGTAGTAGTAGTAGTAGTAGTAGTAGTAGTCGTAGTAGTAGTAGTAGTAGTAGTAGTAGTAGTAGTGGTGGTGGTGGTGGTGGTGGTGGTGGTAGTAGTAGGCAGGAGCAGCAGCAGCAAAGCAACAACTGTAGCACCAGAAGTAGCAGGTGCTAGTACCAATAGTGAGTACCAGCTGAAGCTGATCCTTACAGCTCGAGATTGCCTCCCGCAAACAACCCTGAGTTCTGGTGGTTAAGGCTATCGAGGCTGAGCTCCTCCACACCTGAACCCCAGAGGAGGTTGGTGTACGGAGGTTTTGGGCTTGTGGTGGAGGTTCTCTTTCGGATGAACTTTAACCCTAATCCAGACCCCAGGCTCCGAAAGCCCGAGATTACCGACACCCTGAAACACGCAACCCATCCTTTCCGCCCTTCGCACCAGCTTCCTTGCCATAGCTCGGCGGCCTCACAGCTTGGGAAGAGAAATTTGCCGTTGTCTGCGGCTTCAAAGGCTCTTAGGTTCTTGGGTTCAGGGTTTGGGTGTCGGGTCTGTGTGGGTTTTTGCTTCTACTATCGTAAAACCGTCCCGAAGGAGCCTTTCCCCTTCGTTTTAAACTGGCTGAGCGTCAGAATTCTGATGGTGATCCTCTTATGAGGCCACCACACGGGACAAGAAGTTCTGAATCGGGGTCTGCAGGATAACAATATCGAGGACTCCTCGGAGATCAAGCTGCCGGGCCTCTGGCAGCCTCTAGAAGCGAGGGGGGCAAGAGGGTGGTTGAGGGATTTTCAGGACACACAAGCACAAACAAGACGGCTGAGTGTTGAAGTTAGATTTGTCTCAAGGCCCTCTACAGCTAGGATTTTTTGGAGCACCCGCTTTCTTTCTCAGACTTCTCTAGCTATACTGAAGCCCCAAATCCAGAGAGACCGACACTGCTTGATTAATCCCGTGGCATCGCAACAAGAGTTCATTCCATCTTATCTATCTATCGATCCATCTACCTGTAGTGTTTATGGAATACTCCTTGTATCGGTTAAGGGGTATTGGGCTTTCCGGGAATACCCCCCCCCCCCTCTTCCAAGAAAGCTGCGCACCTGGAAACGCCAGGATACTGCCTTGGCTTGTTTTGTCCTATAGACCACAAGGTTTGGATAGGTTTGGGTGTGGGGTAGGGTTTGGGCTTGGGTTCAAAGTCTGAGTTCGGGGCTTTGCAGGATCCAGGCTGCAGGTTTACGCTCTTCCCTCCCCAAAATTACAGCTGAGGGCAGGGAATTCTTTGCTCATTCTACCCAATCACTCTCCCATCAAACGAACGTGTATTTCGAGCCACCGTCGTAGGTTACAGGTCTGAGAGGTTTGGACGCCGAAGCCTTTAATCAACTTCAAACAACACACATCTAAGCGAGACAACGAATCGAACCGCCTGCCCCGTCCAGGGTATCAGGGCTCTCTCCCCGAACCTCAAATTCATTATGCAAGAAAGTTTGATCGCTAAACTAGAAAAAGGGACACAGCAGCCCTAGTCGGTTTAACGGCCTCCAAGTCGCAAGCTCATGGTGCCTGGGCCTGCCCAGCCCTTTCCGTAGCCAGGCCCAGTCGGAGGAGACCTCCAATAAACAGACCAAAAGAAGGTGAACAAATACCTGTAGAGAGAGAGAGAGAGAGAGAGAGAGAGAGAGAGAGAGAGAGAGAGAGAAAAAGAGAGAGAGAGAGAGAGAGAGAGAGAGAGAGAGAGAGAGAGAGAGAGAGAGGGAGAGGGAGAGGGAGAGGGAGAGGGAGAGGGAGAGGGAGGGGGAGAGGGAGAGGGAGAGGGAGAGCGAGCTTCTTGCTTCTTTTCACCTTGTGGGTTGCGTAGGCCAGCAAGCTCAAACCTACCCGCGCCGGAATCCTGAAACTCTAAACCCGAATCCAACACAAAACCATCCACCCGAGGTCTTAAAACCGACGATCGCCGAACTACCAGGCCCTAACCCCGAACCATGAGCCCCACAAGCTAGTAATTTGTTATAGAACCCTACAGCACAGAGCCCTAAAGGTGGAGGGTGTTTTGGGGTGTAGGGTTCGGGCTTGCGGTCTTTCGCGCAAAAACCCTGCAGCGATCCTCGCATACGGTGGCGGCACGGCATATCCGTTCTGGAAGCCCTGGCTCTTCGGTTTGGGTTTAAGGTGGAGTCGGCTTGAGGGCTTTCGGGCATACTGTTTGGGGCTCCGTGAATACGGATCTCGGTTGTCGAGATTTGTAGCTTTGGGATTTAGGGTTCGAGAAAGGCTCAGGAGCCTAGGAGGTTTTAGAGGTTTAGACTTTGAGGTCCAGGTGATCAGGTTATGTACTATTTCAGGAGAACTGGACCTTGTGGGGTTTGGCCTAAGCTTTTATAGAAGTTTGGTGCGGCTTGGGACAAAGGCCGCCAGAACAACAAAAAGCACACAGAAAAGACTGTCCAGCAGCATATCGGGTTTAGGGTTGAGGGTTTGTTAAGGGTCCTCACCATAAGCTCCTTCAGATCTAATGTGCTAACTCTCTAAGATTTGGGTCCTTCTATTCAATGGTGCAAACACCAGCCATCCATAAAATGTGGGGCTGGGGGGATACTGATTATAGTTGTTAGTCATTCGAGGCACGATGCCTCAAGTCTGAAACTAGAACAAGTCTCCTGCACGGCTTCTGGGCTTTGCAGTTTGCTGGTGGCAGGCTGCCGTGCAACGATTTGCTGAACAGCTACATGGACAGAATGGCAGTGCCCCTTTGAGGATTTCGGGTGCTTACTAAAACCTCTGAACTTTGAACCAATAGCCGATTTAGTGACATAGTCGTCGGCCTTGCCCACCCCTGAACCCCTAGCCCTGGACCCTTTTGCCCCAAACCGTTTCCCCCGCCGCCCCCCCCCCCCCCCCCCCCCCCCCCCCCTCTCAAAAAAAAACTACCTGAGCCACCCCAGGGCCAAATCCTCCTCCTCTGAACTCGAAATTGCTACGCCCTCCTCCCTGCAGCCCAAATACCCCAATCCTACAGATCTCCGATTCCTCGACCAGACACAGCTTGTAAGCCCTAACAGAACAAAGGAAGCCGCCAACCCCAAAACACCCTGAACCTTTGCAGACACAAACCATGACATCAAGAAGAGATTAGCAAACAAACATCCTAGGCCACAGTGCTTACAAACTTCAAGAACAAAGTTACTACTCAAAGAACACTAAGCCTCAAGCCTGCAAACCCCAACAAAAAACCCTCTGCTTTGACCTGAGCCCCCATGCTGCGGCCTTATCGCCCTTGCCATAGCCCTTGCCTTTGCCGTCATCCCACCAGGACATGCCTCGCGTTTTCGCTTTGTTGTTCAATTAATCTTTGAAGCCTCTTTAGGCTTCTAGGAGGGTTCCACAGAATACCTGCTCTAGGGTTCAATGCTTCAGTCTTTTCAGGGATAGAGGGTTGAGGTCTTCTCTAAACCTCCCTAAACCCCCGCTTGCCGGGCCTGGGCCGGCGCGTGCCTGTAGGCGCCGCAACCGGCCCCCAGTGTCGTCCTGGCCGTGAGCTTGAAGGAAGTCGAAGAATTGCGCAGGGAAGCTCGTTAAACTTATTGAAAAGGCAAAGAACCGTATGTGTTCAATACTAGATGAAACACCAATGAAACCCCTTTTGAGCCTTTCTGTAGAAGATCGGCATCTGAGGTGAAGGATTGGGAGAGCAATGATTGAGAGCCTGTTTACGGCTTTGGGAGGGGGTCTCAGATGGGGCTTAGTAAGGTTATAAGTACCTTAATTGGGGTTATATACGTAAATATAAGTATAGTTACCCTACTTATTAAGAGTGTTTTTTTTGCGTTGCCGGGTATCACGAAGGTCATCATCATATGCATCAGCTAGTGATAAGTCTTGGGGGTTGGATGGGCCCTGGGGCATTTAGGCGTTTCTCGGCTTTTGGCTGAGACCCTCGACCCTAAACCCCAAAATCCCAAACCTGAAGCACCCAAACCTTAGCGCAGTTCACTGTTGGTGGATTCGCCTCTAATGCGCCGGCAGTAGGCTTCTCAGGCAGGTAGATTATTCTGGTATGATTGCACAAGGACAGTTCAGCACCACCGAGCGTTGCTCTAGGGCATATACTGAAGCCCAAACCTGCGACAACCCGGCGATACTGTCCTGCCAGACCACGCCAAATCGTTCAAATGGCCCGGCGGCGAAGGCAAATGAGGGTTCTTTAGATCAGGGGTCTAGAATTCCTAAATCCTCAAGCTGGAACTAGTTTGGACTGCTGGATAGTTGCGTGACCCCCATCCCATTCTCCGACAAGAGCCAAATCTGAAAACTAGAGATCCCGACGAAGCGTGAGAAGCAAGCGAACCAAACTTCTGTAGTATTGTATATGAATCAGATCAATACAAAGCTCTTGATCTACGCCGCGAAAGTGACATGTTTTTAAGAGCCCCAACAAGGCCGGGCGGCCCTCTTCAACAAGTTACGACGCTGTCAGTTTTGCTCGGAGCATTCGAGAGGGCTCATCTGCTGCGCATGAGTCTGCCAACATCTCGTCTATTTAAAAGCGGGCGTGGCCGTGCTTTCGGGAACGTACTGCAGCCACGCTACGCTCCACCCTAAACTCTAAAACCTAATCACAGAACCCTAGGTTCACCTTGGGCCAATCAGGCAGCTCGAGCACAAGCAGAGCTTCTGTTTCGCTGTTCTTTGGGCCCGTGTTGATCACCTACTGAAACCACTCGCTTCCTACTCTTGCACAACTTTTGTGCTTTTTCCTCTCTCTCTCTCTCTCGCTTTGTCGGCGAAACCTCGGGCTCGTTATCTCCAAAGACAGCCCGGAGTTGACGAACACGGAAGCTTGCAACAAGTTGCACCCACTGGATGAGCATCAGCCCGGACCTTCGCATGCGAAGAAGTCGGCTGCCAGAACCCGAACTGAAAGAAGCAACAGCATTGTCCTTGAACCCTCAGCCACCGTGTCGGGGAGGACTCGCAAGCCCTTGGCCTTGTAGACACTTCGACACCTCGCACCTTTCAGGCCCTTCATAACCTTAAACCTTTTGAAATCCGTCCCAGGTGTCAGAACATGAGGGGATATGTGCGCAAGCGAACTTTTGTTGCCAGACAGCTTGGCCGCTCACAAAGAAGAAGAGCTGTGGCAGCCAGCTCCTGCCGTTTTTGCAGCGGCTTCTAATACATCAAAACGACATAGGAAGATTCCAGATCCGAAGACCCAAACCCTAGACCGGAAACCCTAAATCCAGCCGCAAACCCTAAACCGAGATAGACTGGCCTGAGAAGCGAGTCCTCGAAAGACTAACCCAAGACGACCACCAGGAAGCCAGATCTTGGGTTTAGGGTGAGTTCACGTAGCGGCCTCAATAATGAGAATAGAGTGTCGGATCACACTGTACTTTGGAAACAAGAGCGGATGCGACTGTTTGGTGCAGGATGGTATCCCCGAATTCACGGTTTTCGGGATTAAAACTTTCTAGCTTGGGGTGCGCACCCTTCAGACCTAACAAACCTGACCGGACACCCTCGCGAAAATCCCCAAGAAGTCGAGGCTCTGAGAGCACCACCCAGCCCAAAAACTCAAATCATGAAACATACATTTATACAGCCCTAAGGTGCCTGAGGCCCTAACCACTACACCCCGAAGCCTGAGGGAGCCTCCAACAACCGGTCAGGCCCCAGGCCGCTAAAGGCTTCAATAGTAAGAACCCTGTAAAATCCTGCCTGCTGCGAAAGAAGCGGCACTGAAAAAAAATAGTGGTTCACAGTGAGGGCTTGGGGTCCGGGCGTGAGATACGGGAAAGCCCTAACAAACCCTCGAGAAAAAACCGACCTCCCCTGACCTGAAGTGCTAAAGCCCTGTGCGCCTGCAGAAGCGCCAAGAGAACTCCACCGGCCTGTTGGTGAGCCATAAACCCTAAACCCCTAAACCGACAAACCCGATAAACCTGATAAACCCGTACACCCTTTAAACCCTCAAACCTTAAACCCCTGTCACAAGCCTACAAGCCTTTAACCCCTGTAAACCCTTACTTAAACCCCTTATAAACCCGAAAATCCCTAGGCTTACGGCTTAAGGGTCACTAAAGGGTTCAGGGCTTAAGGGCTTATAGGGTTTGTAGTGGTTTAATGGCTGAAGGTTCAGGGTTTACAAGGGATGGCTAAGGCAGGGGTCAATGCTCAGAGTTTCGGGCTTGCAATGCCTAAAACATCCGAAGACCACCCTAAAATCTTAATCCCGAATGGCAGCCCCCCTTGTGAACCCAGGATCAGGTGCTGTAGGGTTGGAGCATCGGGCTTTCAGGGTCTGGAGTTTGGGGGGGTTTAGGGCTTAACTTAGCTTCCAGAGAACAGTAGCTCAGCAAAGCACCACTGCAGCAGCGTTCTGAAGTGGAAAGGTCACCAAACACCCTCAGGAAAACGGAGCAACCTCGGAAACTCCGGAATCCCGAAGAATCGAGAAGCGTTGAACGCGTATGAAACTGCTGCCGCATCTCCAAACATTAACACCCATCCACACGCGACGTGCGGTGCAAGTGCACGGCAGCAGGATGGAAGAGCACGCGACAACACCTGCGACCCGAAGGTAAGCCGAGAAGGCCAGGGCGATACGGAGCCGCAACGACTGTGAGGGGGCACGCGGAGCAGGGGTTTAAAAATTCGTGGGGTGTCGCTGGAGACGTGGGCAAATTACGCCCCCGGTGATCTTTAAGCCTCGAAGAACAAAGACCCTATCCAAACCCCGTGGACACAGACACAAGTCCAAAGCCCTTAGACCCACAACGAATAAAGATCCCGCAGCCCCAGACACCAACTAAACGTTGAGACAGAATCCGCCGCATGTGCAAGAACAAGAGAGAACCTCGAAACCGACAATTTGACACCATAAAGCCTTCTGTCCTAAAACCTCACGACTTGAAGCTAAAACTCCAGCCCCAGCCCTACATCCACCTCGCTACTCTTCTCACACGCAGCCACAGGAGGGCTGAGCGAAACCACGCCCCGCGAACCGGACCTGCATTAGGGTTGGGTGTACGAAACGTACGAGTTCGGCTTTGGAACTAGGCTGCAAAGCTTCAGGTTTAGGGTTGAATGGGTTCCCAAAGGGCTCCCAAAATGCAACATGGCCGTACTCTTGAGGACCCGGGTAGCGCATTTCTTCTCTTGCTTAGTGTTTACGGTTTGACGCCAAAATAGTAATTGGGCGGGCTCGATGCGTTTCAGGTTGTGGGCTTAGAGTTTCAGGCTTGACCTTGCGGTGCGCACAGTTAGGGTGTACGGCTCTGGGTTCTCGACTACGTGACTTAGGGCTTGGGTCTTGAGGTTGTGAGCGTTCGACTCCAACTGATGACTAAGCCACAAACACCCTAACCCAGCCCCATTGTGAACCGGAGTGCCAACGTCTCCAACACCCGCGGATAAGGAATATACCTTAAATCGCGCGCGAGAGCTTGTCTACAGGTCCCCTTAGCAGAAGAAACGCAGCAAAGGCATGACACAAACAGCTTGCCGCCTGCCGTCGTAAGCGTTAACGTTTAACGGACATTCGCACAAGTCCCACAGATACCCGCAAGCCGGATCTGACCTTTCGTTCGGAGTTTGGTGGTGGCAAGGTTGGAGGTTTTAGAGTTCTCAGGGCTTGGAGCTTCAGGGCTTTAGGCCTTCAGTGCTGTAGGGTTTAGGGTTCAAGATGTAGAGTTTAAGGCCCTACATTCACTCCAACCATAGCTCCGGAATGAAGGTTGGGGTTCGGAAAACCCCGCCTAATTCTAGGACCTTTTTTGGTTCAATCAGATTGAGCCCTAGAGGTCGCAGGGTCGACTCGAGACCAAAGACCCTGAAGCCAAAAACATCGATACATCCGATACAAGTAGCGCAAAGAGCCGAAAGGCCTCAAACCGCCGAAAACCTCCGACCCTAAAATCCAGGTATCGGGTTGAGGACTTAAGGTTTGGGGAATTAATGAAGTCCCAAAACCTAGCCATGGCTGCCTGAAGTAAAGCCAGCAACAAAGCTGCCACTGCGAAGCTTGCGCGCAAGCTGCGGCGAGGGTGTTCCACCTTACATGTCCTACTCACAGACTCCGCTATCCCATCATTCCAACTGCAGTTACTGCCAGTATGGAAAGGGGCTCGCAAAACCGTTCCTTTGTTGGGCCTGGGATTCTATGGAGCTTCTTTTGCTTGAAGGATCCCTGCATGGTATGATTTGGGAAGTAGTCGATGTCTCTAGGTATGCAGCCCGACCCCTGAGAGACACTTGTGACAGACATACTGATATGTTGCGCGCACGGTTTAGTCAGGGTTTGAGGCTTACGGTTTAGGCTTTGCGGCTTGGCTGTTAGATAGTGTTTTCTGTAAGGTTTAGAGTCTAGAGTGTAGGTGTTTAGCGCGCAGGGTTTACGGTCGCGGGTGTATGAGGTTTGAGGTCCGGCAGTCTCAAAAGAACGCACCAGCCTCGAAGCAAAGCCACGAATCTGTGAGTCGATAGAACCCGCATGTGGCTTTTTACAGAGCCCTGATGGTACCCCTATCTGTCCGTACAGAGCTTTAAGAGAGCTCCTAAACCTTGTCAGACACAAACTAGCGGCAAACTAGCGTACGCTAAATTCGAAACCCGACAACCTCAGCCCTAAACACTAATCCTTAGCCGTAACCCCAGGCCGCCTCTGACGAATGTCGATCCCGGATCTGTCAGGCCCCTTCCTTTCAGGGGTATACTCTTCGGATTCCTATTTTGTCGAGAGCCTCTTTGATCGAGAAGTGGGCTAAACCCCATGCTCAGCCGAAGAGCGTAATCTCTGAAGCGCGCTCGCCAGACACAAGTGCTTGTGCCACCTGAGCTCTTCGCTACGACGCAGCCAAACTTTAGGTAGGGCTTAGGGATGCAAGCGGAGGACCTGCTCGGAAATCTTGTAACCGCAAGTTACGGCACGTCCAAGCTTTCATGGAGTCTGCTTCTAAGACTTCTGAAGCTTACTACAAGAATCCGCGAAAGGGGATGCCGAGGTTTCCGATAAAGCCTCTCAACTTTCAGAACCACGGCTCGACTACCATAGGCAATCCCGAGACGACCCCACAGGCTTCATTCAGAACCACAGGCCTTAATCCACAATGCCATAGCAAACCAACCCAAAGAACATGTGGAAATTGGAAGCACTCGGCTTTGTAGGGTGTGGTGATCAGGACTTTACCAGGAACCCCAAAACCCACACGTCCAAAGCTCAACCCTGAACCAAGCTCTGGAAACGGCAGCTAAACACTTGAACATTGACCTCAAAACACCTCAACCCCGAACCCCCGAACAAAAACACCAACATGCCCTTATAGAACTCCTTGCACAGGTCCTTATAGAACTCGCCCCCTCCTGCCTTCAAACAAAACCAAACCGGCCAAGTCACCAGGTTCACGCCTTGTCGCCAACAGGAGACCGTGGCCTCGATCCAAAATCTTCTTCAACGGATACACTCAAGATTTGGGGTAGACGTTCAAGGTTTAGGGTTTATAATGCTGACAATTAAATGCCCAAAGTTAAGATGACGGCAATGATGATGGTCACCAAGAGAATGACACGATATGAGGGTGTTTGCTATGCTCCCGAATCTTCCCGAGAAGCTGAGTTAGGCTGGCTTTGCAAAGTGCTACGTGGTTGTCTGGGTATTGGGGGGGGGCGGTTAGGGCTTCGGTCCGAGGTGTTCTTTAGTCAGTGAGGTTTAGAGGTGATGATGTTGATGATGTGAGAAGGAGGAGGACCATGAGGATGAGTCAAACGACGAAAATGGGAACGAAGATGCAAGAGAAAATGAACATGGAAAAATGATGATGACGATGGTGGTGATTATGATGTATTAATTTGGCCCGTGATGGTGACTGGATGGTGAAAACAAGCTTTCCCGTTTGGGAGAACTAACCACGAAATCGCAGTATTCGAAGCAGTAGTAGTGATGCTACGAGCAGAAATGAAAGTAATAGCTGAAGTCGTAGCCGTCGACATAGCAGCAGCAGTAATTGTGTGTGCTGATGAGCATGTGTGGTCATGGCGTCGATAAGCCACAGAGAAGTACCATTGAGTATGAAGAAAGCTTACGCAGATTGTTGCTGTTGAATGCAAAGCATTATTGGAAAAACACAAGCATAAGGATATGCGAATAGCCATGACGCAAGACCGCATTATGGATTGTCGTGACATGTGTACTGGAAGCGAACGTACCACAGCTGTTGTGCTATTCATAATTGGGCGCGGGCCGTCATTATGCTCTAAAGCTGTGCACATCGCTACGTCAATTGACCGCAAGGACATGCTGTCTCCCCAAAAACAAACCATAATGGTCCATGCTTTTTGTATTGGTATTTTTTCACACTATTTCACATCGGATCGCCTGCTTCTTATATGACGCAATAGCACCTATTCCGGTACCATGCAATGCGAAACCAAATGAAAGTGGACCTGCAACACTCTCAAGACGCAGTCGGGGTGCGGTTGAGGAATGAGCCTGTATCACACAACATGGCAGGTTCGGGCAGTGCCTGGTTTTCTGATACAAGACTTTACGACAACCATGCGCAAGGCATGGTTGGTACCGCCTCCGCGTCCAGATTTCGTCCCATTTGTACACTGTTTGATACCTGCAAGGCCACAAGTTATCATCTTTGCAAGGAGGTCCAAAACATGACAGGCTTGACTGGGTTGTTGACTTGAGACCACCACCAGCACGATCACCTCTACCTGTGCTGGCCGAGCAGTAGCAATAGCAGCAGCAGCCACAGCCAGGGCACTCGCCAGCGGACTGCAATACTTTTGAGTTGAGCAGGTTCC